AGAACTACTTTTTTGATAACAATTAAAACATTGTTTTCCATTTGCATGGGTCAGCGAAGTCGCCTGCACCTCAGTATGAGTCGCAGCCGTGGCACCACGTGGTAACAGGGGGCACTATTTTTCCCCTTTAAGTACACGCAGGTGAAAAAAAAAAAAGCCAGTTTCACTTAAGCATGTCCTCTGTGAAGCCGTGAAAAATTATTAATTGCACTGAATATCAACCCTTGAACACACATCTTTTTACTGTTCTGTGTGGCAAAATGGGAAACATGCATAAAGCATTTCGGCTTTGGCTTTCTGGAGAAAAAGCTGTGGTGTCACGGGGTTACCAGCTCAACTAGCCATTTTAAAAATTTTCTTCCATAAAACATTTCTGCTTTAAAGAATGGCCAGCAAACAGGTCACTCCGGGATGGGTATTTTGTTGGCAATGTGTCAAAAGTAAATACTGGAAGCCTGTCACTTCCAGGAAAACCACTAATAGTACTTACTGGCAGTGATAAAATTCAAGCTTGCTTCCAAGTGAAAATTCAAAGTTTAGAAAACTTGTAACCGCCACACTGAGCAGATTCCCTTTCCTGGGAGGCTTTTCTGAGGGGGTCTGTGGTGATGTTACTGGCTATGACATTCTTGATATTGTGTGATGCAATGTGCCAACCTCGGAAATTTCTGTATAACTCAGTGAACCAGTATCTTCCAAATGACCAGTGCACACTGTTACACGATCATTCACAGGGGAAAGCCCCATTCAAGTAACATAGGACAGAAAGTCCACTGACGCAGCTTTGGGTTTCACACAACAACTAGCCTTTACGAAACTACCCCATGTGATATCAAAGAATGTTCACAATTATTTGGAAGGGCTATGAAAATCCTCCTCCCTTTTCCAACTACATGACTATGTGAAGCCAGATTTGCTGCTTGTACTTGACCCAAACCTCATGTTACAACACAGGGAATGCCAAAGTGGTTATAAAAATCCAGTTGCCCGAGGACATGAACAGACATTTCTGCAAAGAAGACATCCAGATGGCCAACAGACACATGAAAAAGTGCTCCACATCACTCAGCATCAGGGAAATACAAATCAAAACCACAATGAGATACCACCTCACACCAGTCAGAATGGCTAAAATTAACAAGTCAGGAAATGACAGATGCTGGCGAGGATGAGGAGAAAGGGGAACCCTCCTACACTGTTGGTGGGAATGCAAGCTGGGGCAACCACTCTGGGAAACAGCATGGAGGTTCCTCAAAAAGTCGAAAAGAGAGCTACCCCATGACCTAGCAATTGCACTACTGGGTATTTACCCTAAAGATACAAATGTAGTGATCTGAAGGGGCACGTGCACCCGAATGTTTATAGCAGCAATGTCCACAATAGCCAAACTATGGGAAGAACCTAGATGTCCATCAACAGATGAATGGATAAAGAAGTGGTATATATGTACAATGGAATACTATGCAGCCATCAAAAGAAATGAAATCTTGCCATTTGCGATGATGTGGATGGAACCAGAGGGTATTATCCTGAGCAAAATAAATTAATCAGAGAAAGACAATTATCATATGATCTCCCTGATATGAGGAAGTGGAGATGCAACGTGGGGGTTTGGGGGGTAGGAAAAGAATAAATGAAACAAGAAGGGATCGGGCGGGAGACAAACCATAAGAGACTCTTACTGTCACAAAACAAACTGAGGGTTGCCAGGGGGAGGGGTAGGGAGAGGGTGGTGGGGTTATGGATGTTGGGGAAGGTATGTGCTATGGTGAGTGCTGTGAACTGTGTAAACCTGGTGATTCAAAGATCTGTACTCCTGAGGCTAATAATATGTTATATGTTAATAAAAAATTTAAAAATTTTAAAAATTAAAAAAAAAATCCAGTTGCCTTCTACCACATTTGTAAAAATGTCGGTCTTCTCAATTAAGTTTCTTTTGGTTTGTTTTCCACAGAACTTTGCTGTTTATATAAAAGTGCAATGAGAAATTGTTATTTTTAAATGGATTAGTAAGTACATTAAAAAAAAAAAATCCTCGGGGTGCCTGGGTGGCTCAGTGGGTTAAGCCTCTGCCTTTGACTCGGGTCATGATCTCAGAGTCCTGGGATCGAGCCCCACGTCGTGAGCCTCTGCTCAGCAGGGAGCCTGCTTCCCTCTCTCTCTCTGCCTGCCTCTCTGCCTGCTTGTGATCTGTCAAATAAATAAATAAATAAAATCTTAAAAAAAAAATCCTCAGTAGTTGTTTCCAATATGGTAAGTGTCATAGCTATAACCACATAAATGGAAGTAAGAGTCCTCATGCTTTTGAAAAATACCTAAAGGGGTCCTGAGACCCCCAAATTTAAGAACTTCTGGGGTAGGGGACAAGAGCATGGCATGTGGGATCAGACCAAGCTGCCTTCTGATCCTGACTCGCCGCTTACTGGGGATGAGGCTTAGGGAGTGGCTCTTAGTTCTCAGCACTGAGAGAGAGCTGGGGGATGGCATGCCGACCTCAGGGACTGCTTGAACCTGCCAGGGTGAGAGCCGCAGGTCTCAGGTGGCCCCTCATCCAAGAAGAGAGCAGGCCTGACAGGGGAAAACTCACTTCCCGCCTGTGCGGTACCACCTCGCTGGTGCCTGTGGTAGGAAGCACTCCTCCCTTTGGAGAAATGCTGTGGAACTTTTTTTCTCTGCTTCTCAATGAATTAAACCTAATATTGTTTTGTACATTGGCAGCTCTGCCTGAGACCACTAATGATGCCTAAGGGAGCTAGAAACCAGCACTGGATCCAAACACTGAATCTGGTCCTTGAACCGAAGGCTCCAAGCCACTGCTTTCTGGGCCTGTTGACTTGCACTTTTTCCAGCATCAGTTTCCCTGCACCCCTTCCTCAGACCCCTCCCCAGATCCTCCTACTTCCTTCCCTCTAGGAAATAGTCTGCGCTCAGAGGTGAAGGCCGCCATCTTGGGTATGATTTGGAAATCAGCCTGGCCAAGGGGGCTGCCATCATTTCCAAAGCAGGAAATTGTGTTTCCCCAAGCCCAGGAGTTGAGTTTATCATTACAGCCAATTATCTTTGTTATTTCAATCTCTATTTCATGAGCTTTGGGGAAAAGCATCCACAGGCCTGTTTTCATGGCATTCTTTTCCTCTTTGGCATGTGTCACTTGGCACTCAGTTGGCCCAGGAAGGAGGCGAGTACCTGGGTCATTTCTGCGGCCCCCACCCCACAGCACTGGGGGAGGGAAGGGCCTGGGGCTGGCAGCGCCACATGGTGGTGCTCATGCTGACTTCTAGCAGCACAACCAGAGCCTGAACGCAGGGTTGTTGTGGATGTTTTAGTGACTGTCAAGACCTAGTGATCTCCTTCCCTCCCTCCCTCCCCATCTCTCTCTCTTTTCTTTCTTTCCTCCCTCCCTGCCCCCACCCATCCTATCCTTCCCTTTCCCTTTCCCTTCCCTTTCCCTTTCCCTTCCCTTTCCCTTTCCCTTTCCCTTCCCTTCCCTTTCCCTTCACTTTTCCCTTTCCCTTTCCCTTCCCTTCCCTTTCCCTTTCCCTTCCCTTTCCCTTCCCTTCCCTTCCCTTCCCTTCCCTTCCCTTCCCTTCCCTTCCCTTTCCCTTTCCCTTTCCCTTTCCCTTTCCCTTCCCTTCCCTTTTCCCTTCCCCTTCCCCTTCTCCTTCTCCTTCCTTTCCTTTCCTGGCATGGACGGCCCAGGTCACAGTCTCCCTGAGTGTTGGGAGATGTCGGGAGCCACAACGCACATCGAGGCATTGACCTGCTATCCTATGTCACTGTCCTACTCTGGATCCTCCGGGGAAGCATGGGCAGAGCCAATCACAGAGCAGTCCCTGCTGGTGTCCGGGTCACTTCTGCCACTTGTGTCCGAGGGCAGGGTGCATGCTAAGCTGTCTCAGAGGAAGGGGCGTGTCTGGGGTCCGGGACACAGTGTTCACTTGTGATGTGGGTGGGGAGTGGCAGGCGAGTGTGTCTTCCCACGCTGGCACTCTGGGTCCTGGTCACACCTGACCCGGCTCTGCCACAACCCACAGCACTGCCATGGGGTATGTGGGGCACCTCCCCCTGCCCCGGCCCTTTGGGATTCATCTCCATAGGGAAGCTTTCTCTGATCTCCACACCCAAAGGAAGTCTCTCTCCTCTAGGATGTCACAGCGACCTTGTCCTCTCTTTCGTGGCACTGTGATAGCTGTCATCTCGCACATGCTGCTGAGATGGTTGAGCATACGTCACCCTTCCCCAGTGAACTGGGGGCCCCACATGGGTGGGGGTCTCCCCACTGTGAGCAGAGGAACCTGACACACCAGGCCCTCAACAGACAGGTGCTGAGTGAATGAGTGACCGAACGGAAGCAGGAACACAACGTGTGCGGGCTGGGCTCCTGGCCACTCGAGAGACGCCTCCCCGCCTCCGGACTTGCTGAGCTCTCCAGGGGGCGGAAAGACAGCTTCCTCCACAACATGAAGAGTGCTTCAGGAAGGGAATGAGACCTCTTTTGTGTAAGTGGGAGCTTCTGGGGCAGGAGCAGCCCCGAGGAATTCATGTGGGGAGCTTGGGCTGTGGAGTCAGATGGTTCCTAGGTGGAGCACGAGCAGGACCCAGGGCTAAGATCTCATCTGTGATGTGGGGGACTGTAAGGGGGGGGACGGATCATGTTGGTAGAAGTGCTCCGGAAGCCACAGTGCCTGCTGGGCAATGTTCTTACTATTAACCCCGGGCTGTTTCTGGTGTCAGACTGAGACTGCTAGGGAACCTGGAAGGTGGAGCGCAGAGCAGGGGGTTTGGGGTGATCTAGAAAACAAGATGGTAACCCTCCCACTTGTATTCTGGAGGGCTGGGTGGTCGTCACCTGCCAGGCAGGGGCACTGGGGAGGAGGCTCTGAGGCCACGGTGCTGGGGTCCCCTTAAGGAAGGGCACCCCAGGTAGTTGTGCCGGAGACACTAGAGATGGAGTGTGGTGAATGCTGGCGGCAGTGGGATTCAAGGGTGGGGGTACTTACAGTTCGGTCACGTCCTTGGGAATGCCTTTGGGGAGGGCGTGCAGCCCCCTGTTGCTGCAGCGAACCACTGTCTCCACGCAGGCGCACTGCTCAGGGCAGTGTGGGCCCAGCTGGCAGCTGCTCTCGTCATTGCCTGTGGAGGATCCCAGCGTGAGCATGGGGGACACTAACTTCTTGGGGGGGGGGGGGGGGGGGGGGGGGGGGGGGGGGGGGGCCAGGCGGCGGGGGGGGGGGGGGACGGGGGAGTGGGGCAGGTGAGCGAGGCCAGGCGCCAGGGACCAAGCCGTCTTCAGGAAAGGGAAGCCCTCCACTCGGAGCCCAAACCAGAAATAAGAAGCCTTGCTGGTCTCCATGGGCAAAGGGGAAAGAACGTATGCCTGAGTCGGGGAAAAGGGTACCCTCTGCTGCCACACTCAACATTACATGAAGACTTTAAAAACTTGATTAACCAGAGAATTAGATAGGGAAGAGGTTATTGTGAACCCAATCAGGGATAAGCCAAACTGACTGAAGGAGCTGTCCAGGGTAGGCGGAGAGCCCTGTCTACTACCTCTTTCTCTTCCCTTTCTCTACTCCTTCCAAGGACACAGTCCCTCTGGGGTGGTAAATGTGTCCCCAGCCCCCATTACACCTTAACCTCAGTCAATCTACAAACCAGTTAATTTGTCTTTAGATAAGCTATAGCTGACCAAGTAAAAATTGTGCTGGCTTGAATTTATGTTAATATGCCCTTGGGAATCCTGACACTCAAAGCCTCGGACCTCCAGGTATTCATAACCCCCCCAGCCAGTGACAGAAATTTCCCAGGAGCTCATCTTGAAGTCTGTTTCTCAGGATACATGAGCCTCATGACACAGACAGGAGAATTGAGGGCCAGAGCTCTCATGCACAGTTGTGTAGGTTGCGTACTACACAAGGGTGCCTCATCATCTATTGGGCACTGTGGATGTGATAGATTAAGACATTTAGTACAAGAGTATTCTTATAGCCATAAAGTGTCTTGTTTTAAAAAATCAGTGTACTTAAACTTTTTTTTCCCAAAAAAAAAAAACCAAAAAAAACCTGTTTTTGCATAAACTTTTTTTTCCCGAAACAAAAAAAACAAAAAAAACAAAAAAAAACTGTTTTTGCATAAACTTCTTTTTCCCAAAAAAACAAAAAAAAACAAAAAAAAAACTGTTTTTGCATAAACTTTTTTCCCCCCCCCAAAAAAATAAATAAAAAATCAGTGTACTATGACACTTTTCTGACAAAAGTAAAGAGATCCCTTTTAGAAAGAGACCCCTCTTCTTAATTTGCATGAGGGAGCCATATGGATAGCCCCAGACCTGGAGAGCCCTTCAAAGCCACAGCTGCATGCCAGAGGGTAGAGTCATGTCAGATCTCAGGGGGTCTTGACTGTTAAGTTCCCTGCCGCATCTCTCTTCTCTTGTATGCTTCTTGGCTTCCCAGGTACTGCCCTTCTGCCCTGGCCCAGCCTCCTCACCTTCACAGGTAAAGTCCTGGATGGCCACATCCTGGATGGGGATCTCCTTGAGGAAGAATGGCTTTTGGCACCGGGGGTTCCCACTCACGACCCTCCGCTTCCTCAACCACTTGCCAAGCCAGGCCAAGTGGCAGTTGCAGTTGAAAGGGTTGGACAGGAGGTTTCTGGGAAGAAAGAAGGGGCCTCTCTGAGTGGTTAGTACCCACTCTTCTACCGTGGAAGCTGGTCTTGGGATCCAGGGCTGCAATCCTGGAGCCCAGCTCTCTAGGGAGGCCTGCTCTGGGTTCCGGGGAAGGAGGGAGGATATCCAGGAAAGGAAATGCAGACTCTCTTCTAGAATCCAGAGGCGATCTTCGCAAGGGTCTCACTCTGGACCTCTGAGGACGATAGGACCGTGGCCTCCTGCCACACCCTCCCTTTTCTGCTGAGCTCCAGCTGTGGAATGTCTTTAGCCCCTCAGCACGTTCTCTTACACTTAGCACCCCCACCGGCACTGGTCCCCCGCCTGGCATGACTCTCTCTACTGTCTGCCTGGCTGCCTCCTTGCTCTCCTCCTTCAGTCCTGGCTTACACGGAAATGAGGAGTTGCATCTGCCCTAGTCTTCTCCCTCATTCACGTGTGTGGCTGGCACAGCACCCACAGAGCGCATACTGGCCTCCCTCCTTAGACTCTCGGCTCCCCCAGTGTGGGCATCAGACCTGTCTGTCCATCCTGTGTCTCCGGGGTCCTGCCTGGCACCAGCACTGCCACTGTGTATGTACCTGGGGAATGCAGTGACTGGCTTGGTGGAGGGACAAGGGGAGAGCAGCTGTGGGCGGGTGAGTGTTGCTAGAGGACTGGGACTAGGCTCAGCACTTCATGAGCCTGAGGATGGATGGGACATTATTCTCATCTCACGCAGGAAGGAAGTAAGGCTTAGGGAGGTTACCTAAGAGGCCAGACAGCCCTGAGTGGCTGTGGTAAGACAGGACAAATTAAGAGCTTGGGAGTCAGACAGCCTGGGTTTGAATCCTGACACTGATGTGCCCCAGCTGTGCCAAGTCAGGCAAGTTTCTTCTCGTGTCAAAGCTGGTTCCCCTGATGTGTTGTGACTCTACCTCTCTGGGCATCTTGTGTGTCTCTGGATTCTCAGTGTGGAGACACACAGGAGGGGTGAAAAGTGGGCTCAAATAAACCAACCTGCTGGTGCCAGTTCCTAGCCCCCTGCCCCACCCCCGTCTTGCTGTCATTCATTCATTCCATTCATGCCCCGATTCTCCAGGTATATGATGGGCACTTAGTGCCAGGCACACATACAGGCATAGTGGACATAGCAGTGCACAGAAGAGCTGCACATCCCTGTCCTTCTGGAACTTCCATTCCAGCTGATGGGAGGTGGACAGCACGGATCAACAAGGCAAAGGTTGGTTGTATGTTCAATTAAGAAATGGTCCATGCTAGGGAGGTCAGCACGGCTGGGCTGAGGAGCTGGAGGGGATGGCATGGGGGCAGAATAGGGTGAGGTAACCCACACTTGAGCAAAGACCGGAAGGAGGCCAGGGGAAGGCTCTTCCAGGTAGTATGAGTGGGTCTAGGGCGTGCGGGCCAGTGAGGAGTCTGACAGGGGCGGTGCTGGCCTGGAGGGAGGTTAGGAGGGACCGGATGGTGTGGGCCCTTCAGGACATTTATAATTTGGCTTTTACTCCCAGTGAGGCGGGATACGGGAACAAGAAGCAGCAATAGGAGACGCAACCAAAAGCCTTCTCTTCTGTCTTTCAAAGAGTCACTGGGAAGAAGAGAGAGAGAGAAGGATGGACCAGCAACTAAGGTTAATGGAGCCACGTGGAAATACTATGTGCAATCATAAATGCTGAGTAGTTTCTATATGTCAGACCCCTCCTGTCCATTTTACAACTACTAACAGATTCAATCCTCATAACAATCCTATGAGATGGATTACAGAGAAGGAACAATCGAAACACACAGAGAGGAAGTAACTTTTCTAAGGCCACACAGCTAGTGAGAAGTAAAGCCAGGGTTTGAACCTAGGAAATTTGCTCTAGATCCCATCACTTTACTATTCTAAAGCCCGCTTTACCAATACAGTGAATTATCTGGGTAGGAGCACTCGTTTAGGTGTCCAGAATGCTAGATTCTAATTCTGGTTCTGACACACATTTAAGCAGCCAGTGACATCATTTAAAACCCTGTCAGACCATGTCACCAGCCTGCTTAAAACTTTCAGTGGCTTCCTGACATGCTTTAGATGGAGACCAAAATAGTCCACGGCAAGCCTGTATCCTGGCCCTGGCCTCCCTCCTGCCTTGCCTCATACCTCATCCTCCCTTACTCTGTGCTATGACCATGTTGGACCATACTCTGTCTCGTACATCTGCTCTGCAGTGATCCACCACAGGGCCTTTGCACATGTTCTTCTGATAGAAGGAAATGCACTTCCCACTCTGTTGAACAACCTAACACCTACTCACCTTCCAGAACACAGCTCCAGTGTTCTTTGACAAGGTCTATGTTGGGTTTTGCTATTACTGTGGACCTCTGTTCTGTGATCATTCACTATGCTATGAGCTCCAGGAAGGAGGGACCATGTCTGTGAATCCTCTGCACCTAGATGGTGCCTGGCACACAGAGGAAGCCCAGCAAATGGTTATTAAGTTGACAAATGGGTAGGTGACCTTGGCCAAACATAGCAGGGAGCTGCTAGGGGAGAGGTGTGCAGGAGAGGAGCCCAGAGTCAGTGTGCAGTGCAGGTACAGGGGGACTTACATGGTAGACAGGGAGACAAGGGTGGTGAAGGCGCCAGGGGTGATGGTGGTGATCCGATTGTCATAGAGGGACAGCAGCCTCACTGAACTCAGGCCAGCAAACGTGTCATTGCTCACACAGTTGATCAGGTTACTCCTCAGCATCCTGCAAAGAGAGGGGTGGGGATGAGGGAACACAGGCATGATCTTCTCCCCACCGAGCCACAGGGAGTGTGTGTGTGTGTGTAGGTGGGATGCTTTCCCCAACTCCAAGTCCAGACCAGTCGCGATGCTGAGGCTTGTTCTGTGATAGCAGGGTGTGGGGTCCCACTGCAGCCCCCCATGAATGTGTGCATACACTCTTGACTGTGCGTGCTTTACATAAATGTGTGTCATGAGTGCATACATGTGCACATGTATGTTGTGTGGTGGTCAGTGTCTGCATGTATATTTCTGTGAGGAGAAAGGAGAATCAAGGTGCGGCTATGGAGGGTGCCTGGGGGGCTCAGTGGGTTAAACCTCTGCCTTTGGCTCAGGTCATGATCCCAGGGTCCTGGGATGGAGCCCCGCATTGGGTTCTCTGCTCAGCAGGAAGCCTGCTTCCCCCCAATCCCCGCCTGCCTCTCTGCCTACTTGTGATCTCTGTCAAATAAATAAATAAAATCTTTAAAAAAAAAAAAAAAAAGGGTGTGGCTGTGGGCCATCAGCTTGTGTGTACATGCTTGTTTGTGTCTGTGCTTATCTGCATGCTGCCTGTGAGTGTGTCATTTTTAGGCACATGTGTCTGGGTCTAAGTGGGTAAGTGTGTGTGTGCCTCTCTCAGCACATTTCCGGCACGAATCTGTCTATGTGCACACCTCAGGGCAAGGACTTTTTGGGGTGTGTGGGCTGGGGAGCCGAACATGCTAAGTTCTTGTCCATCTAGGGCTGGCAAATATCCAGTGCCTCTCTGGCTCCAGGAAGGAAGGGACTCAGCTTGTTGGGACAGGCCCAGGAGCTGCCCGCCCCAGCCTCATAGTCCCCCACTGGTCCCTTGCCCTCCCATCTCCTTTTAAGCCTTGGCCCAGGCTCCAGGCGCTCACAGAGTCTTGAGGCTGCTGAGTCCCTGGAACATGCGTCCATGTAGCGTTTCCAGCTGGTTCCCGGTCAGCATCAGTTCCTGCACGCCCGCCGCTCCATCGAAGGCACCCTCTCTCACCTCCTTGATCTTATTGTTACTCAGGTTTCTAGAAGGAGGGGACAGAGTGGGTCAGGATGCAGGGAGGGAATCACGGGCCCTGCAGTCAGAGGGGACTCTTAGGTGCCCCTGGACCGAGAACTGGATGGTGGGGCTCCCTGGGGCTCCCAGGAGGTCTTCAGCACCTGTGCCTGTGGTGCTGCCTGCAAGGTTGTAAGGGTGGAGCTCACATGTGAAACAGGCCGCGTGCAGCCGTAAGTCTTTTCAGGGTGATCCTTTTTTCTAAACCTTGGGGATGAGCACATTTAAAAGAGTGAGTCTCAAACTGATTTTCTCCTTTCATCAGAAACTCTCGCCTAGCAGTGCTTCTCAAGTGGAAGGCAGGAAAAAAATAGAAAATGTGCCCTCTGCGGGGGTGGGATGTTTGTAGAGCTTCTAGCTTCTAGCTCTACAGTTGAGATCCTTCATATAAATGGACACTTTCTAGTTACTACTTTCTGAGTACTTATCACTCAGTGGGTTCCATGTGAGGGGTCTGGCCCACAGAATCACGTCAAACCCTTCAAATAACACCTATCATAAGAGTATTACGTGTATTATCATTGCTTCATTTTATGATGAGGTGACTGAGGTTCAGAGAGTTTAAGTAACTTGCTCAGTGTCACACAGCTCATAGAACTGGGGTTGAGGCCAGGCTTTCTGGTGCATCAAAAGTCCGTCAGGGAGCGGCCTCTTTCCTAAGTGAATGTTCCTTTGGTGGTGTGGATACTCGTACCCTTCGGTTACTGCTTTGTAGGATTCAGGGCTTGGGATATTGTATTTTCTAACAGCATGGTCTCACCAAGACTTGGGACCATCCTTTCCAAGCCTGCCCGAGCTCTGAGGAGGCCTCTCCCCCCATGCCTGATCACCACATGCTAGGCCTCTTGTGAACTCCTACAGGGCCCCCAGGGCTGCGCGTCCCCCAGGGTGCTCCTTGGCAAGGGGCCTCCGTGGACCACTCAAACTGTCGGGCCTGAAATGCATCCCAGGCATCCCAGGACGGATGGAGTGGAGAGCGATGGTGTTTACACAAACTGGGGGAAGAATCCAGTCTCAGGAGCAAAGAGCCTGTCCATGCCTTGCACAAGGAATGGTGTTCTGTGAATGGTGAAATCTGGTGGTGTAGATGGAGCCTGCTAACCCTCTAAGCACACTGAGGATGTCAGGACCCAGGGCTCACCAGAGGTGGACAGGCTGGCCCATGGTCCTGCTGGGAATGAGAGAGGTGAGGACGGGGCTCCAGGTCCCGGTCCATGTCCCCACCACACAGAGCCCCTGGTGCTTTTGCTTCCCTCACGCACCCGTGCGCTGCTCTGGGCTCACCCACGGCAATCCCAGGGGGTGAGGCTTCCCTCGGGAACTGGCTCAGAGCCAGCGACTGGACTGGGCACCCATGGGCTCGACATCAGCTTGTTGCCTCCTTCCCAGACAGGGCACGGCCTGCAAGGCAATGGCAGTGCCCATGCCTGTGTGCAGGTACAGAGGGAACAGCTGGAGCCCCATCGGCACCCTCAGCGCTCCTGTCCTGGCCCTGATCCCCTCCCTGCTCTGTCCTGCTGAGGAAACAGGAGCAGTACTCCTCAGCGCCCTCCCCCAAGGTCTGAGAGGGTTGGGAGACTCTCTCACTGGACTTCCGCACCCCCATCCTTGCTGGCTGTCCTTAAACTCAGCCTTTTCTTTTCTTTTCTTCTTAAAAATTAAATCCTGGTAGTCCTGGTCTGGGATAACCCAGGAATGAAGGTAGCGCACAGAGGAGACTGCAAATTACTCCCAAATTAGACATGGGAGAGATAAAGTCTCCCCCAGTAGCTGTAACTCATACGAACGCCGGAGGAGAAGGATTTTGCTCCAGAGAGTTAGGCTCCGTGGGGAATTAAAGTCCACAGGACGGGCAATGAAGATGAGTTAAAGCAACCGTGAAGGGGGAGCGCTCCCATTTCCTGACATCTGTTTCTTCAAATGAGCAAAATTAACATCACATTACTGTAAGGTTTGTGAATTGGATTTCCTCAGGCTGGGAGAATGGAAAACATAAGGAGAACAAAAAGGGAGGGGATAGAATTTTCTAGAAGGCCAGGCTGTGGCTGGCTCTCCATTCATCAAAGCGCTGCTCAAAGCTACAGGCAGCTTGGGGCAAGCAGGCCACACACAAAACGAAAGCATCCGGCTTTTGTAGAGATTCTATCTTACTCTCAGAGTACTCTCTTCCTGAAGATACCCAGATCCCAGGGACCACAAAATGTGAAGCCAGGACCACTCAGGCTGGTGGCCTCTCCTCAGTTTCATATCTATGAACACACCTGAAGAAATATGGTTTCATCCTGGCTTTGCCTCTGATGAGGATGGAATCTCATATGGAAAGGGCCCAGCCTTGGGAGACTCCCACGCAGGTTCAGGGGATAGTTCAGAGGGGCAGTATCCTGACAAACTCAGTGTGTGACAAACCCACTGCCTCTGCTGGCTGTCCTGAGAAACAATGAGGCCCCTGCAGGCTGGGGATTTGTCTGGCTTCCCCTGGAAAGCCTGAGTTTGAGAAGGCAAGCCTGGGCCTCTTCTAGTCCATGGCTTGTAAGACAGCCCATGCACTCTGGCAGCAGGGAGGCATCTGTAATCCTGGTTCAAGCCCCGTCCCAGAAGAAAGGGTAGTAGGGAGAGAGCTAAGTGGATTTTGTTCTAGAAACTGAGGATACTGGGTCATCCTGGAGCACACACTCTGCATGCTGTCAGGGCAGGGAGGTCCTGTCTACCCTTTTGATGAACCTCTCCCAGGCCAAGGTGGAAATTCTATTTCAAGCTGGGGTTGAAAGCTCAAATGTCCCCAGGGCCCAGGCTGGTGATTTAATGCAAGAAGCAGGTCCAGGGGGATAGCCAGTCCACAAGCCCAGTGACCAGAAAAGCACATGTCCTCACTTAGCGGGGCAGCTGCTCCTCACTTTAACTCAACTGGAGACACTTGGCCCTGTTCTGCTAGATCTTCTGCTTTTCTGAGAGATCCCAGAAATTTGGATATTTTTTTTTCCGTGAACACTCCTGATTTTTAAAGGTGGGCAACAAATTCTTACTAAAAACACAATTACTGCCAACAAATGTGCCTGCATGTACTTCATTTTGGCTAGAGGGCTGTGGCTGAGATCCTCCTTCAGTGTAAGGACTGACCTAGAAGTCTGCCTGAGAGGCCGTGACCACAGTCTGAATGTGACGTCATTTGAAAAGTCGTACCAATAATCCTTTTGGGTAATGGCTTATACATGTTTTTCTTCGGCAGGGGTGGAGGGAGGACATCCCTTAGTACACATGATATTCTTGGAGATCTCATTGTTCCAACAAGACAGGTAAAGGCATAGTAGAATTTCAACACCTGGCTTTATGCTCACCCTCCTCGGCTCCTGGGCCCAGTCAGAATAAAGTCAAGAGCATAACCTCAGGGCCCTGACTTCACAGTCCTTGAGGAAGCCCAGCAGACTTGGCTTTAACCTTACTCTGACCCAGCTGGCCCACTACTTCTGTGGGAATGTGGGGACAGCAACGGGTCCCAGTTAAGACCCTTTACTTAACAAGAAGAGCTGCCATCAGGTTATTTTAAATAAGTGGTTGCAGCCGGTGGCCTTTGGGACCAGATCTGTTCCTTCGGCATTCGCCTGGTTGGCTAGTGCAATGAATATGAACTTATGCACACACATGTGCACGCACACGTGATTACTGCCTTCAGATAGTGCACGCATTCCCCAGCCCATCGACACTGTTACCACTCCTGGCTCCGCTGCTTGATTTTTAACCTCTGATAAGTTACTTAACTTTCTGTGTTTCAGCTTCCTTATTTGTAAAATGAAACAATCCCAAAGCTTTTTTGTTTTTCTTGCGGAGAGTGACATGAATTAATATTAGTACAGTCTGGCACGGAGTGAAGCGTCTCGTAACTGTTAGTGGTTATCTATTTCTATTACTATTATTATTGCCATGCACCAAGCTTCTTTCCACTTCTCTGCTACTCTCTGGCTCTTGAAAGTATTTGAACTTGCAACTCCTGTTTTAAATATATAGCTAGCCACCCTCAACCCAGATGTACTCCTCTGTCTTCCTGCACCTTTCCATCCCAGGTCCACGGTCAAAAAGGCACGTCTTTCAACAACCTCTTCACACTTATTTCTGATCCTCATCATAACTTACAAGGAAGGTAGATTTCTTTCTACCATGCAAATACTGTAACTAAGGCTCAGCAAGGTTAAGAGCATTCCTGGGGTGACACAGCAGGAGGGAGATTAAGCTGAACTCAGAACAAATGCAGGTAAGGCCTGCACCTGGATTTCTGGCTGCTACAGGGAATGTCTAGCAGCCCAGACCTTCGAGTTCCAGCACAGCAAACAGTGGGACAAACCCAGTGACCTTTGCCTCTTTCGGCGAGAACTGGGTCTGTGTTTTGCTGCAGTCCCCACCACTCTCCTGTGGCTTGGATGCTGAGGCTGGGGGTCACTTAGTATCGTGTTCGTGTGGTTGTTTTTCTTAGTGCACAGAAATGGTTCTCTAGTCTCCCGTCCATGTCACAAGGGGGAAGATGAGAGAGATATTGCAAGTGTGTGAATCTCATCTCACATGGGAGGGTAATGTCTCTCCAAGGAAGCAAAGACTACTTTATCCTGTTTACTATATAGTTGTGTACTTGGGCAACCTCACTCATTTTAATACCTGCCTTCTGGGCAGGGCAGTTTCTCTGCTGAGGTTTAAAACAGTATGTCTTTCTCAGGTTTGAATTAAACACGACATTTCCTTGCAGGAGATGGATGATATCTGTGCTCAGCCTCCGAAGCTTGACCCTACAGACAACCACAATCCTCACCAGGACCCACGTGTGTCCCTCTCTCCTCTGTGCCTTCAGAATGCTCCCCTCCTGCTCCCAGTTACAGAGCAATCGCTGAGGCCACGGGCAAGGTGGTGGCTGTGGGCGGGGAGGGAGGGAGGTGCAGCACAGGGCAGGGGAAGGCCTTTCTCCTTCTGGTCTGCAGGGGACTGATGGGTGGAAGAGTGGAGCACATGACAAAAAATAAAGGTTTATCATCAGTTCTCATTATTCACGTAGTTATAGTCTGAAAAGTCCTGGGGAAAACTGAATTAGGGAATGCCAGGCCACAGCTCCTAGGAGAAATACAGGGTTATGTTCCTGTGAGCCTCGGGTCACAACACTGTCGTCAGCTGATCAGTACATAACCTTGCCTGACGGGTGCTTCTGCTGGAAGACATCTTATTTTATACATGTGGTTGATCTACTGAATTGCACTCACAGCCCATAGGACCGGTCCTCGTGTCTGAACAAAGCTAAGTAACGCACATGTTTTCTCCACGAGGCCCATCGCGGTCTTCCCATGCTTCGGAAGGCTAGACGCCGCAGTATGTGTCAAAATCACCAACAAGATGCATAAACATGCAAAAAGATATTGTACCAAATATGCTGTGAAAAGCACACTAGTTTACAGTCTGAGAGCTGAAACAAGAAATCAGAGCAGGGCCTTGTTCGGTATCAGCTGAGAACAGGTGTGCAGGAAACTCAAATTCCCTGCTGTTTTGTCCATGTCTACAAATGAGCACAAAAGCACCACTATTGATTCTGAGATGACAAAGAAGTTTCAGCGAGTAAGTGAATTAGCAACTATGGGATTTGTGAATGATGAGGCTTGACTGTATTTCCTTTGTTCCAGAAGCAAACCCAATGCTGGGGCCAGGAGGTGTGGAGTCTGGGGTGGGAGCAGGGAGAGGGGCCAAGGAGAAGGGAATCAGAGGGTAGGGAGCTCCTGCTTGTACGGGTACCTCCACGAGGGCCCCTGGGAAGGGAAGATGAGTGGAAGCAAGCCTCACTGGACACTGCTGTGATTACGGATGAACCCCAGTGGGAGTGCCAGCCCCGGCGTTTATTGGCGTGTGGCCTTAAAGAAGCCCTGCCAGCTACATTCCACCAGACAAAGGGCAATGTGAGGCCAGCACCGGGAAGGTGTACAAGGACGACAAGAGATGATGCGCGTGAGGCAGGGAATGTGGCCTCTGGCCCGGGACAAATGCTCCCTTAGCTCAGCCACATGATTCTTGTTTGGCCCAAACTCGGAGGCAGGGAGAGGGTTATGAGGACGGGCAGCTCTGGCACTGGAGAAGCCAATGCAAGCATGTGGGCCCTCTGCCTGAGGTCAGGCTCAGGTCAGGGCCAAGGACACCTGGGCTGAAGCCCCATGTGTAAGAGGTCTAGCACTTCCGCTCCAGTGCGCCTCCCAGATGCAGAAGCCTCCAGAGGCCTTCTAAAAACAGAACATTTGTCACCTTGTGAAAAGTCCTAAGTGCACTGGCCCCTAGACTCTTGCATCCCATTGCTGGTCCTCACCTGACTTCCTCTTGCCACCCCTTGGGGTAGAAGCTGGAGGTGGAGGACAAGCAAAGGGCACCTGGACTGAGTATTGGGGTTAGTGCTGAATGGACACTCTGCACAATACATGGCAATTTAAAAGCAGTGAAGTTTTGGGGCGCCTCGGGGGCTCAGTCAGTTAAGCGTCTGCTTTTATGATTCAGGTCACAGTCTCAGGGTCCTGAGCTCGAGCACCACATCGGGCTCCCTGCTCAGCAGGCAGCCTACTTCTCCCCTCCCTCTTCTCCTCCTACCACTCCTGCTTGTTCTTGCTCTTTCTCTCTCAAGTAAGTAAAATCTTTATTAAAAACAAAACAAAACCCAAAACAGTGAAGTTTCATTTTGGTCTGTCTCTGCCTGGCTGTGCCTTACTGTCCTGCTTCCAAATACATGCCTGCAGGGGGGACGGGAAGAGGCTGGGAGGGGTTGGAGCAGAGGGTGAGGGAGCCACCGGGGCCCTGGCCTTCTGCTCTAGTCCCCAGCACAGACCCTGGCCAGGCCCGGAGGCTGCTGCCAGGTGCCCGAGCCTGACTTACATTTTCCGCAGGTTGGGCAGCTTCCGGAAGATACCGGTGGCCTCGAGAACAGATATCTCATTGTCGTTCAGTCGGCTGCATGGGAAACAAGCAGATGAGGTGGTGGGAGCCGGGGAGGGGGGCGCCCCCTCCGCCGCCCTCCATGGAACCCTTCCCAGCTCCCCCACGGCTTGACCTCAGTAGCCACCTGGCCCTCACATTCAGCCAAGGTCAGTGGAGCCAGGGAAAACTCAGGGAGAGCACGAGGGCCCAGGAGGCTGTGCCTGGCCATGTGCTTCTGTGATGTGTCAAGTGGAAGGGAACGCTAGCCTGAGCACCGCTGATCAGGAAGGCCGCCATCGTCTATGCAGGGCTCACTCCCTGCAGGAGTCAAGGTGAATTCTGTGCTTGCATTCTCTTGCTTGATCTTCTTAGACCCCTAGGAGGCAGGCACCTTCCCCCCCCACCCCATTTTACAGTGAAGCATCAGACACTGAGGTCTGAGATGCACCTTGCCCAGTGAGAAGAAAGTGAAGATAATGGGAGCCATATGTGGGTCTGACCGTCCCGCACGTGCTGCGCCCTCACCCCTACCACGCTGTAGCTCTTTAGCTCTCCCGCTTCTGCACAAACGAGCACATCCTTCCAGTCACGAGCGTAACCGGAGGCTCAGCTATACCTCATTGTTCCAGCATCTTCTCGACTTTGGCAACTATTTACGAACCATCTTTCGGTTACATGATAAGCTTCGTTAAGGGCCGGGAGGGACTGTCTGCTTTGCTCAGTGTGGAAGCCGGTGGGCCTAGCGCCGTGCCTGGCTCACAGTGGGTGTTCAGGAAATATCTGTAGAATGAACTAATGGTCTTTACTTTCGAGGAAGCAGTTCCAGGTGGTGGTAGGTAGGGGGTGCCTGGGTGTGCATCCTCTGCTGAGGACTTGGAGGATGGCCAAGAGCACCCATGGGACTGAGCTGGGAGGGGGCTGCCTCCCAGAGACACTGCTCTGGCTGGCTCAGGGTGACAGGGTGCTTGGGGCCGCGTAGGGAGTTCCGGCCCAGGTAGTACTTACAGATCGGTGACGTATTCGGGGAGGTGGCTTGGGATGCGGGCCAGCTTCTGGTTGGAGCAGTCCACAATGGTACCCTCACAGCGGCACTTCTCGGGGCACACGAGGTCCATGAAGCACTCACTGCTGAACCTGCTGCGGTAATCCTCTGAGCCTGGGCAGGGCCAAAGAGGGCAGTCAGGATCACCCGGGCGCCCGGACTGGGCCGAGACTGTGGGTAGTGCAATTGGGAGACATGTGGTGGTGGTGGTGGGGGGGGTGTCCCAGGCATAGACACAGCATTGTCTTCATTTGTGACCACCTGGCTGGTGCCCTTCCCATCCCACCCTCCCACTTCCATTTGGTCTTTGTCATTCATTGAGTCCTCTGGGAAACCAGGCTCAAGCTCTGTGGGCTCTTAAGCTTTTGTGGGTCATGAACCTCTTTGAGAAGCTGATGCAAATTTATGTTCTCAGAGAAATGCTCCTAGGTGCACATGTGCAGAATTTGGGCTACAATTTGGGGTGGAGAGTACTTAGTTCCTGATGCCCATCATCTGTGGACCCTCTAAACGTTCATGAAAATCCCAAATGAAGAGATTTTGATGGCATTTTGACAGGGGCTGTGTCAGGGTAGGGATGAATGAGGTCAAGGAAGGGGTCACAAACTCAGTTCTCCTCAAGCAGCTAATGAAACAACAAAGGAGACCCAGCATATGGAGGTCAACGACCACTGACACCAGGTCTCAGCACTGGGAAAACAATAATGAGGGCTGGGGACCTGGGAAATTGGAGGCCAAGGCCCTAAATGTGTGTGAATGCTGCGTGAGGATCCTCTTTAAAACCAGTAAGAGCAATAAATTAACACTTAAAAACTGTCAAGACAAGCACAACTCTTGGGAGGGTCCAAGTGATTTGTCCTGTCTCTGAGAATAAGGTTGGTTTAACTACAGTGAAAAGAAGCCAGTTCTGATGAGCTAAGAGTGGTTGGAATGAAGAGTTATTTATTTATTTTTTTGCCATCGAATCTCTCCTGAGATCGCACAGTAACAGCAAGAGGATCAGCAAGTGACGTCTCAGGACAGGCCCTGGGGTGCTGCTTTACTGATTAGAAATGATCCCTCGGCACCCGGCCACACCTTGTGAGACCAGCAGTCCCAGCGGTGGTCACTGGGGAAGTCCTGGTTCTTCCCAGCTGACAGGGGTCAACGGTTCATTAGCACCGTGCTAGGCATGAAACCCAGGCTTGGTCCACGTTTGTCCGGTGTGTAAGCAGGGCGCTGCTAGCACTCCGGCTGTCCCATATGTGAATGTTCCCAGAGCGTTTCGGAGAACGTGAACGTCATGGGGTTGCTTAAGGGCTTGAGGCAGACCTTGGTGACCTGATCCACAGTAGGGCCAGTGTGGGCCGCTAGCAGTGCAGAAACTTTAGCAGTCGTAGGCTTGTCCAGGCTCTGGCACTTACTAGCCTCTGCCCCTCCACGTGGGAAATGGGGGTCTCGGACTTGCCCCTGCCTCATGGGGATGGTTGTGCAAATGCAAGGAAGATTGTGACAGTGGAGAGGCTCTGGGGAAAGGAAAAGAGCTGCATGGACATTTGCGATCCTACTACTGTTATTTTCCAGAACCTAGTAGAACATTTGGCCTATCGGAGGCCACTAAAACATCCGTGTAGCTAGTGATCATAGCTGACTTTTACGGAGCACGGACCATGAGCCGGGCACTATTCTTCAAAATTCAGATGGGGGAGCCCATTTAATCCTTGCAACATTCTTGAGATTATTGTGACTCCATTTTACAGATGAGAAGACTGAGGCCCTTGGTACACCACAGAGGGACGAACCCAGGCAGGCAGATGCCAGGGCCTGTGTGACCAATACTATGCTTTCCTGCAAATGTGCAGGATTTTGACAAAACCTTCATCCGGGTCTTTCTAGGACTGATTATAGAGTCCAACTTGGCAGAGGTAGGCGGAACAGCGCTTTCCTGCAGGGGGCAGTGGGAGGCAGGAAGCAGCCATCTTCCACGCTCATGGCTTCTCACCCCTCACCTCATCAACCTACACTAATCCCTGATCGCGGATGAACTTGGTGGTCTCTGATTCTGAAGTGAGACCTTCTCCTGAAGATGGGATCAGAGGCCTGGACCTGTCTCCTTTCCCTCTTTGCCCTTTCTCCACCCAATTCCTTGATCCGACCTGCCACCCCCAGGCTTATGTGAGCAAAATCTGTGCACGTATCCCCGCAGTACTTTGGGCTGCTTCCTAATCCAATGCATTATGCAAATCTCTTGCCCTTGGCTTGCCAGCATCCATCCCACTGAATAACTCTGACCTGGGCCATCTTCCTCCAGACACATCAGCATGCGGAGTCCTGGGTGAGTTTCATTTTGCAAACCCTGCTAAATGATAATCCTCTCTTGTTTCCTGCCGATGGCTCTCCATGGTGATGGCATGAAGGGACACTTTGTGCGCACGCATGTTATTTTCCCTTTAGAAGGCGCCTACAATGGAATCCTCGCAAAGTAGAGGAACCCTGAGTGTTGATCAAATTTTGCCTTTGAAAGACAGGAGGGAGCACAGTTTGCTCTTCAACAGAGCGAGCCTGAAGATGTACACCGGCTGGGCTGTGGCCGGGGACTGTAGCCGATTAAATGCGTTTTCATTTTAATCAAGGTGAGAGCGTCTGTAGTTAGCAGGAATCACTCTCTGTAGTATAGTTAGATTATAACTGGTGGACCTCTGCGATGGAACCGCTGACCCATTTTAATGAAATGATTTTGCAATTAGATTCGATGGACTAATATGTTCTTTCCAACATTTCCCCCCTGCTGTTTTTGCTATTGCCCTGCTTTGTCATAACGAGGGGGTCGGAGTGTGGTATTTTATAGGAGTGGGAGCCAGAAATGTTAATAACGGCGTTTGCCCAGATCCCAAAGAGTTCCTTCCCCATCTAGAGCCAGCCTGAAATGCCACCCCCAGTACTTCATATTTCATTGCCCAAACTACCCAGGGTTTCTCAGAGCCATTTGTTATGCCTAATGCTCATAACTACCCAAAAGTATTTTTAACTTTTCCAGAGCTTTAAAAGTCAATTTCAATCTCAATGCATATTTGTCACTGCCAGAAATACTTAGTAGGAGGGGAGTAACTGAACGGGCTGTGGCTGCTTCTGTCTGGGGCGAGTTCAGACAGCAGAGATCTCAGGAGGACTGGAAGAAGGGCCATAAAACAAAACGACGACTGAAGCGGGTCATGGGAGAGCTGACATCATCAGGCCTCTCGCCTGCTCCTGCCCCTGAAGCCCTCCTTCCTTTCTGCCCGAAGCTCAGAACAACGACACTTGGTACATGATCCCAGACAAGCTTTAATAGACGAGGGGGTGGAAATCCACAGCACTGTGATTTTATTACGAATCCCTGCCCTATGGTGCTTTCCCAGGAGAGACCGTCTTTGACATTTGGATGGTCATGGGACTGGGGCAGGTAGGGAGCCACAGCTCCCATTCTTTGGATGGCCCTGGAGGCTGGGGCCCGCGCTGGGCCCAGGACGGCTCCTGTGATTAGCAGTTCGATTTGCGTCATTCTCTGGGCAACCCGTTTGTTGAATGAAAGTCACATATTTGTTGTCATATGACGACCACAGCCCTGCCAGTGCACATGCCCAGAACTCTCCTCTTCTACCTCCAATATCCCTAAGAGGGGTAGGATGAAAGGAGAAAAGCAGCAGAAAGAGGAACTGGGTGGGGGGGGGCAGTCCATCAGCTTGAAGAGAGAGTCATGTGGACAAGCAAAGGGTCGTAAGTAATGACTGGAATCAAGAGAACATTGCTAGGCACACAGTTACTGGGTCACAGGCAGAGGCTAGGGGATTAGACACCAATGGCTGGAAGATGTCCACTGCTTTCCCAGGACTTTGGTGATCAGTGGGGCAGACAGCTGTCCTCGTAACCTATTACTATCAGGGTCAATTATGGATGTAGCCATCTGCCTGAGAGAAGAGGGAAAGGCCCATGGCCTGTGGCTGGGCACTGCCCGTCTGCAAGTCTGCTGCTGCAAAACCAGGGAGGTGCCCAGAAAGGTGCCATCGTGGACCCACACCAGAGGCCCAGCCCCTGGCATGGTAGACGCAGCTCCGAGAACCCAGAATGCCTCCCCCGTTCAGGATAGGGAATTGCTCCAGGCTCGAGGGTTTGTTCTGTACCAAACGGATCTTGGTATGTCCACGCTGGACAGGGGAGCCACTTAAACCGCGCTCCTTGCTCGCCTGCTTACTAAAGTTTTCCTCTATTAACAGAAGCGAGCTGGAAACGGAGTGGTAACATAGTTTTCCCATTCCCTGTCAATTCAAGTCAATCCTATCATTCTTTTCCTTTTCATAATTCAAGGCAATGGGTTTGTCCACACCTGAGAAGGCTGAGTATTATAGCTGGAGAGAGCAGCCATGTGACCCCCGGCAAGTTAGGTAACCTCTCTAACTTGGTATCTATCTACTTCTGTGCAACGGGCCTTATCAGCTTGTTGTAAAAAAAAGTAATGATGGAAAGAGTTCAATCCCTGACCTATAGTAAGCACTCAGGGTATGGGGAAAGCACCCAGAGAGGCACGCAGGACTCTTTGGTACTCAGCAACAGCAAAGTCCTGGCTCTGAGGGGTGACCTCAGGGAGAATGAACCAAAAACAATCTTCTAGTTACACTAAGGATTTACCAAGAAGCAAACAGAATGGCAGGTGCCACGATCCCTTTATTGTCAGAGACAGCTGAGTTCTACACAGCCCTCGGGGGCACGGAATCAGCACCATGTGAGGAGCCCAGCACCTAGGTCACCATGTCAACTGTTCTTGGGAGGTGAAGGACACGGACTGGACTTCAGTCTGCACGGCGGGGGGTGGGGGGCGAGGGCCAAGGTACTCATGAGGAGTGGGGGTTGGGTTCAAAAGGAGCCACAGGTTAAATCCAAAGTCTCAGACTCACGCCACTTTCACCCATTCCCATGCTCACATGCATCCCCAATACTTCCAGTAAAGATGGCGGGTAGGGAGTGGGTCACACCAGTATGACCTCTGGGTTAGCTACCACTTGGGAAGATAACCTTGCGCTGGGACCCTGCCATGAAACCGTGGGGCATATGCCATTGGGGGACCTGTTCTCTCTGAATAGAAGAAAAACAGTGGTTTCTGAGCTTTGACCTAGACTTTACCCCTCAGCTGGCATCCAATGTAGCTCTGGGGGATGATGACTCCACCTGGGGTAGGAGATGCGGATATAGATCTTAGCGGGTCCCCAGTCAGCTTCTCCGTACCCGTTTCAGCCCATATCTGCTACCTGGAGGTGGAGGTGCTCTGGGACTCCTTCGAGACTGCCCCCTCCCCCGCACCTCCCCTTGCCCTTTGTGAGGCTAGACCGGGACAGGCGGGTCTGGCAGGTGCTGGGCTGCGGTGCTCCAGAGCAGAGAAGAGGTGTCCAGCGGTGGCGGCGGTGGTGGCGGGCCATGCTGCAGGAGAGCGCGGTGCTTTCCGCGGTGCTTGACAGAACCATGTTCCGTTTCCATCGTTCCACCACATGGTTAGATCAAGCACAAAGGAAAGCCCCGCGGCGACCGGTCAGAGTCAAGGTCAGGAAGCAGCGTCAGAGAGAGGACAGGAGCACTCAGAGGAAGCAGCGTGGAGAAGCGGAAGCCGGAGCAGGCCCCCACTGAGCGTGATTAGTACCAGGAGCAGGGTTCCACAGGAACACTTCTGAAGACGGGAGCACCACCGCCTTTGTACCCCATTCCCAGGGAAGACACAGGGGAAGGGGAGAAGAATGGGTGGGAGACTGTTAGATACCCCTACGCGGAAGGATCAGGGCACACTGGAGCCTTCCCAAGGGAATTATGAGTGCAGATGTCTCTGGTCATATCACAGGCCTGCACTGAACCTCTAAATCCCACTCAACCACACCATCCATCTGCCCAGATATCAGACTTAGCAGAAGCATCTTCCTCACGCTCTGCAACATGTCCGTCCCCATAGCAGAGTGGATCTGTGGCAGTCTGATCTCCCGGCCTCTTCAGTGAAGAGACAGGCACGGCTTCCGGTGGGCTAACAAAGCTGCAATGCTCTTCCTCAGGAAAAGCGCCTTTGATATTCCACACCTCAGGAGTCTCCTCAGTACCCTTCCAGGCACCCAGAAACCCTCCAGCTGACAGACATTCATCCCAGATGACTTGAAGTATCGCGGGGGGAGGGGGGGGTATGGCATCAAAAGAAAATACACGACCCTAGCCAGGGAGAAAGACGGGGAAGCCGACGGAGCCCTGGGTTTGGGACTAGGAAACCTACAATCCCGACTGTCTGCGAACACTGACTTTCACAGAGGAGGTGAGCAGTTCCCATCACGACGAGTGGCCTCTTTTAGAATAAGAGAAGGAAGGGGAGGGGGAAGACATCAGATTCTAGGGTCCTTCCTGATTTCCAGATTTCCATGGATGGAAACGGAGTGGGTGGAGGGACCAACAACCAGCTCTTTCTGGGTGTCGGGGGCCTAGGTGAGGGCACCCAGCCTCCGGATCCCTATTTGTAACGGATCAGGGGCAGTTTTTATGAACTTCCTCCCAAGCCACTGGGAGGAGATGTGTATATCTTGAAGAGGCCAGAGTCGGGGCCCAGTGACTGGGATCCTCCCTACTCTTGCCCTCTGACAGGAGAGACGGAGTCGCTGTTCCTCTACAGGGTGCTTTTGGGACACGATGGTGCATCTCGCCTGTGCATACATAGGTTGTCTGCAATGGTTGGTCAGTTGGTCAAGGTCACATCATAGCCCCAGATCTCTTTCAAAGCCCTCCCACCTGACCAGCAAGAGGCAGTCACTGCAACCTGGTCTCAACCTTGCTTCGATCCCTGGACAGGCAGGGCTCTGCAACACTCTGGTTTGGGGATTTCATATTCCAGTTTGATCGGAGCAGGGAAAAATCATCCCTGCCTCCAAGCCTTGAAACGTGCTCTTTGATTTCCGTCAACAAAAAGAAAAGGGGGGACACTGGAGAAAATTTTCTCAGTACATTAGAGGTGCCGGGTTTCAGATCTCGTCTTGCAAATACTACTCTCTAACCTCGGACAATACGTTTTTGCTGTGCGCGCCTCCATTCCGTCATCTCTGGCAGGGACTGGGCGATCGCTGAGCTCTCTAAGACTCTCGATGCCCTGAGCGGGGTCATGTCGTTTGCCTTCCCTGTACATACCACATCACCACCTTCCGTGCTTTTCCCCGTGAATTTCTTCTTGCCAACAGATCTCTACACACAAAGCGGGGTGTGTGTGTGACGGAAGTCGGGCAGCATCTTCCAACTGCCAAGGGCTCCCCTGGGGATGGGCTTGGGGTCCCAGACAGCCAGACAGTGCCTTTTCAGGGGAACTTAATCCAATGGCCAGATGACCCCAGCTGGCAGCGTTCACCTCTAACCCGATATTGCTGCCCAGGGCGGCGGATGCAGCTGATAGAGGCAGACACAGGGCAGCTGGGAGCCAGACGCCCTGCCTAAGGAGGGGCTTCATGCGCTGCAGGAGCAGCCCTCAAATTGGATTCTAATTACATCAGCTGTCTTTGCAATGGGGGTGCTTTTAGGGGAAAGTAAAACACAGTTATTATCTGTCAACTTCAGTATGTGTCACCTGCCCCTCCTTCTTCTGGAGCTTCCTGGAAATACAGAGCTTTGGACCTATGGCTTCTGTATCCCCTAAAGCCAAGGCAGGTCTGGGCCCCAGTGTCTGTCAAAGCCCAGGCCTCTGATGCTCCCCAGTAGCTCTCTCTACCTCTCTTCTCTGCAGCTAGATGAAATAATAGCACATAGAACGTTCTATGTCAGGCGTCAGCTCTGACATTCTCTACCTTTATAGAAATAATCTGCTTAGTATTGATTTAAAAAAGGCTTTTAGACAGGGTCAGTCCAAGAACCCTGCACTTCTGTTTCTTTTTACAATTTCCAATCACTCCTGCCCTCCATAGGAAAAGCAGCCAGGATCTCTCCCATGCCAGCGTAGGCAGGTAGGGGCAGAGCAAGAGAATGAGGCATTATTGTGTCCTGGGTCAGCTTGCTATTCGCTTTTCTACTTGGTCTGTCTGCACGTCCACCCTGCCACCCCTAGTCCCAGCCTACAGTCATTCCTAGGCACCTGCCCAGATTCGGTCCCTGGGAGATGCCGGTCCTCAGACCCTGGGCTGATTCCACTCCTGCTCTGCCCCCCAGGGTCTTGGCATCCACCCGGAGCCTTGACATCACGATGGAAGACCTAGGGGTTGGGGTCAGCAGGTGGTACCCCAACCTCCTCTGCATTTTACTGCCCCTCTTCTGGGGCACAACTGCTTGTCAGAGCTAATGAACTCAGCCCTGGACAGATTTGGAGAGGAACAGAGTGGGAAGAGGGAATAAGAGGTGCGTGTTATAAGAAAGGCCCTGGGGAAGGAGGGCTCCTCTTCAGGAGACACCTCTGGGCTGGGAGAGGGTTTTCCTCCCAGAGATGCTGCTGGCCCCAAGAAGGAACTTAAGGAAGGGTTGCAGGGAGTGGGGGGCAGACCATGAGACTGTGAAAGGAGTCACCCAAGCAGTTGGACTACCTTCCCAAATGTTCCTTCTCTCCTACATGCTGTGCAGCATCGAGGAGTCAACCAGACCTGGGGTCTGGTCCTGCCTCCAGCATCTGCTTGCTGTGACTGTGGGGTGGGTGCCCTTTGACCTCTAAGCCCCTGGCTCCCTCAGCTGCAGAATGGGGACCCCTCCTGCCGAGCTCAGAGGACTGACTAGCGGAAGAACCAGATCGAACTAGAGACACTCAGCACAGAGTTCATCACTGGCCAGAAACTGCTCTTTTAATTGACATTGTTATTCTGTGGAAGATAAAGTGGGACCAATGCCTCGTTTTGCCACAGAGTCCCTGTGGTACCGCCAAGCCCCTTCCAGGTATTAGTTTCGACTAAAAAAGCAAATAGCTGAAGTTTACCCCTCTGGAGACATGGACTAAAGGATCTGACTTAGAGGCCAAGAACAACATGAAAGAGGCAGAAGTCTGTCTCCTGGTCTTCTCCTGGCCACCAGGGCCCACGCTGCCATTCTCCCCAGGAGAACTCACTTACATAAGATGCTCTTGGGCAGGAGAGAAGAAGGGATCTTGCTGACACACAGATTGTAAAGGCTAGTGCCAATCCCTCAGCCCATCATACTATCAGTCTCTTGTCATTGGGAGCACAATGCAGCATGGTGATTTTTTCCAGCAGCAACTGACAAACGTGGTTGGCATTTTTAACGGCCTGTTCATCTAGCTCCTGGATCAAGGACAGCTACGTCTCTTTCCAAGATGAACCAAGAACTCCCCTGCCATTCACCCCTGGTATCTTTCCCGGGTGCGGACGGGAGGAAGGCTTCCAGAGAGAGCTTGGAAACTGAAGGGCAAGGCTTTGCCTTCCCACTGAGCACAGCTCTCTGCTGTTCTCTTCATAAGCAGAATGCACCAATCTAGGGCAGAGGAGTTAGCCTGCAAAAATGTCCATGAAATCTGTAACAAACTCTGGCCTAAGGGCTGTACCAAAGGTGGTCTCAGAGGGGACGGGAGGCCCCCAGATTACACGCTGCCTGCAGCCTCACCTGGGACATATTTATTTCCCTATCTGCCACTTGCAGAGCACACCTTGGGAACTAAAAGAAAGTAAATTGTGGCCTCTAAAAGGCACATGGGCAGAGACTGGCCCTCCCCTAGCTTCCACCTGGCCCTGGAGATGGGCTGCCACCTGGGTTCTGTCTCTCCTGAAATTGTGCACCCCCTACCAATGCTTTTATTGTGTGTGTGTGTTTTATTTTAAATCCATAAGGTAATTGGTTTTCTGCAGGCCTAACTGAATTTCCCCAATTTAATTTGCAAAGATGCTCCCTAGGAGCCATTACAGTGCTTGCTGTCCTCCAGATTGGATTACTGGCCTCTCTGGGGCTGCTGTGCTCTGAGTCGGAAGGTGGGGCCCAGCCCCATAACCTGATTACCTGAGCAGCGGAACTTCTTGCTCTTGATCTGGCCGATGCGCTTGTTGGCCAGCCGGCGCGGGCTGCCGCAGCGGGCCCCGCTCGTCTCGATGGGGTTGTCCTGTAGGTAGTCGGCCAGCCACTTCAAGTGGCAGTCACACACAAACGGGTTTTGGGCCAAGTGGCTGCGAGAGGGAGGAGAACTGATCAGGAGTGACCCAGGGTGCCGCGCTCCACCACCACCTTCCTGGTGCTGGGCCCCTCCCTCAGGAAGGGCAGCGGGGAGCTGAGCGGGGGAGGCCTGCTGTGGGCCAGAGACAGTCCCAGGAACAGCTGGCAGCCAGCCGGTGGGGGGTGGGGTATGAAGGGGGGACCATGTCCCTCCTCTCCTGACTTGGGGCAGGACCCACCACTGATCTCGACTCGGACCCACACCAGTTCTGATGGGCCACATAACGTGGCAGGCTCAGGGTCTGTCCTTACAGCCGCCCAGATTTGACTTCTTCAAGCTCCGTCATGCCAGGCACAGAAAGAGGCCGGCATGGTGACTGGCACATGGCGGGCGTCCCACACAGAGCAGTGGGTATTGCTGCTCTCCTTGTCCCCTGACCAGCACCGTGGTTTGGCTTCCTCTGGCTCATAAGAAAACTCTTCTCAGCACCAACATGGTGCTCAGCACGTGGTCACTGTTCAACACACAGTCGCTGTTCTTAACACTTTATCAGTACCTGCCTCTGGCTACAGGGAAGTGCCAGGTGACTTAGACGGTGTCCAGAAGCCTCAGGTTCAAGGTCAGGCCCAGGCTGGGCTGAGATCTGTTCCTGGGTGTCTTGTACCTGACGGGGTTACTTAGGAACATCTGCAGTGCTTGGGAGTGGGGAGTTGCTCCCTGAAGACAGACGGGCAAAATTCTGAGTGCCTGCACTAGAGCTTTGGTTTTACAGGGTGGTGGTGGGGTGGCTTTGAGGGGGACGGGACTGGGTTATCAGCAGAGACAGAGCCGGCTCAGAATACGCTGGCCACAGTGGTTAAGAGAGCAGGTGAGCTGCAACTTTGCCTGTTCATATCCTGCTTCTTACTAGCTGTGCAACCTTGAGTAAGTTACTTAACCTCTCTATGCCCTGGTTTCCTTACAGAGAAATGAGAGACCATAATAGCACCTACCTCAAAGGGTTGCTGAGGCCTAAAGTTCTGACTACAGGGGAAAGTCCTCAGCAAGGTGTGGAGCACCACGGGAGTGCTCAGTAGGGGTGAGTGAGAACCACTGTTACTAGTCCGTTCTCACCGCAGGCTCTAGACCTCCCCCTGGACATGCTCACTTTGACTTCCTCTGGGGTGCTCTGTGTGTCTCGGCGTCTGGGGTCACTTGCTTTCTGGGCACGTGCTGCCACTTGTGGGGGCGTACTCACAGGGTCTGGATGGCCTGCAGAGGGGCAAAGAGTCCCTTGCTGATGGTCTGCAGCTTGTTGTCATAGAGGGAGAGCAGGTTGAGGTTCTGCAGGTCCTGAAATGTGTTCACGCGCAGACAGTTGATCTTGTTGGCATTGAGGAGGCTGCAGGCAGGAGAGAGGCCAGTGACTCAGTCATCCTGCCACTTCCCTGTGGAGCAAGGCTGCAACCACTGGTGACAGGCTACAGACTCCGCGCGCACCTTACAGCCACGGCCCCTGCTGCTGAGAGTGGGTGTTGGGGGTGGGGGGGTTCCTGCATCCCTGTGGCCCCCGGAACTCCACACACATATGGGCACCTGTGCACCAGTTAGCCTGGATACTGCGTCCGTCACAGGCTGAGGCGACCCGGAGCCTTCCCTGTGCCCTCCGGGGGGAGTCTGGAAACGGCGCGGCTGTGCTTTCCTCTCTGCTTTAGAATGCGGAGCTTCGAGGAATTGCAAAAAAAACACTGGGCACAATCATGCTAAAGCTTTCGTTGATTGACTAAGGGCAATTTTGACTCAGAGAACTCCTTGGAGTTCTTCCGAACCATGGGTCCTGCTGGAAATCAGATGATGGTTACAGGCCGTGCTATCTCCCAGAAAAATACATCCACGGGTGAGCATCCTCCCTTTGACGCGTGTGCACACACACGCACAGGTGCACGCACGTGGATGGAACCTCGTGTGACCTGACCTCTGCCCCTGTCCCTCTCACTCACATATCCCCACCCATGACACTTCTGTTCCTCAAACGCCCCCACAAGCGTTTAGGCCCAGGTCCTTTGAACACATTCTTTTCCCCCTTTCATCAGGTGGTTCCTTCCCCTCCTCTGCGTCTCGGTGTGGATGTCACCTCCTCGGAGAGCCTGGCCCCGATCCCCTCATCCACAGCAAGACCCCCAGGCTCCCTACCATGGTGTCCCATAGCCCAGTTTACTGTCTTTGTAGCACTCTTCTCAACTTGTGATTGACATTCGCTGCTGCTTATCATTTACCTCCCGCCTATAATGACTATAAGCCCTGATGGCACAAATAACATCTCTTTTCTTCCCTTTCTTCTTAGTGCTCAGCACGAGCATTTACTAAGAAATACATCCAACCCCATCCACAACTCCAGGGGGCCACAATCCGGTGAGGTGGCACCCATCTGCCCTGGTTTTAGAGCCTCAGACCCCTCCCTCCGCCAAAAACAAACAAACAAACAAACAAACAAACAAACAAAAAAACAGCACTAGAGGAAGCTGCCTTTCCGGAAAAGCTCTGGTCCAGCACAGGGGATGCTGTGAGGCTTCTAGGAGTGTACTCCAGAACAGGGCTGGCAAGTTAAGCAAATCTGAGTCCTAAGAATTTCCCTTACAATGTTAGACCGACTAGTTGTGCCCCCTTAACCGGTGTAAAATCAGTTCTCATTCCCTCTTTAATCAAAGAGAGGATGGGGAGAACTAAACTAACCAGTAAAAATGTTAAATTTTTAAAATTTCTCTTTTCAAGGCTGGCTCAGTGCTTCTCCCATGGGGGAATGGCCCAGGAGACTCGTCATGGGCTGGTTTGCCTCTGGAGGCCCAGACACCAGGGTCCAGGGGGACTGGAGTTGGTGATGATGAGGCTGCCCACGGGAGCCCCGTCCGTCATCTGTGCCACTGCTCCCTTGCTGCAGGCCCGTCCTCCCAGTGGGCCCCCTGCAGCCTGTGAGTGGGCAGGCAGCTGCGGCAGTGACAAGGGGAAGAGTGCCTGTTTAATCTGGCTAATAATGGGCAGAGTCCCAAGGGTTCACACAGATGTCCTCCTGGAGGAAAGCTCCCACTACTAGAATACTTTTCTTGTTTTCCAAAGTGCTTTCCTGGCATCCCATTGTTCCCACGGTAACCTGGGCAGATGGGCAGGGCCAACCTCCTATGTATAGGTGAGAAAACGGAGGCTGAGAGTGTGGTGGCTTGGTCAAGGTCACACGTGTTTCCAGGGAGCATGCTGGAGGCAGTTACAAGAATTGAGGTCTCTGGAGGGTGCACTTTCTTCTTTATGAATGTCTTATACACCCTGCCCATCTGTCTATCCCCTCGGTGGCAGGCCCCGAAGAGTTTCCTGTGCTTTGTGTATTACACTTCAGTCAAGGTCACTCTCCAAGGAGGGCACCATGGAGAAAAGCTGGAGGGACCCAGCACGGCTGAGCACCCACGGGGAGGGAATGGACCCGTCACACATGCTTGTTTGTATTTGGTTTACTTGTTTACAAAGAAGAATAAAATATGTGGTGAGAGATTTGTTCCAAACCTTGATATTCAGGGCCTTTTGAGGACATCACTTCACTTCGCTAGGAAATATTGAACAATTCAGGAGAGAGACCAAGTCAGAGGTCTGATGGCCTGAGGAGGGAACACCCCCCCCCCATAAGATCTTACAATATCCCACATGCAACTCTGTTTATTTACCCTCCCAGTGTTTTAAAATCAGGAAATCTCTCTCTCTCTCTCTCACACACACACACACACACATACACATCAGATTTCTATTTCCTTTTGAAAAAAAAAAAATTTTTTTTAAGACACTCTAGCAATGTTGCATCCCCTGGAGGTGGCTATGGAGTGGCCGTCACCCTTAGATAGGACCGCTGCCCTCTTTGCCACAGTCCTCACTGGTCCCCATTAGTACCTTTCACTAGTTTCTTGTCCCATCTCTCCTGAATGGGCACTCATTTTGGGGACCCTTGTGCAGATGAGTGAGCCCGGCTGCCACTCTGGGGAATGCTGGACGTCGGACAAGGACGAGACCCATAGGGAGAGCTCCGTGGTGACCTGGACCTGCCCTGAAAGGGTATCCCAGTGGACTGTTACTCTGGTCGCCCTCCTCACTCATGGAAACTACTGAGGCTTCTTTTTCCGACCCAAATGCTTTCTTGTTCCCTACTGCTTCTAGATGTCTTAGTGTGGGGTGTTAGCGCCAAGACAGGAGGCATCAAAACAAGCCGGGCTGGCGGAATGACCAGGCAAAGACGGCATGAGGCACCGAGCACGTGAGGAAATGCAGACGGGCACAGTCTCCTGGTCACTCGTTCTCTCCCGGGATGCCTGCCTCTAAGGCAAGACACGTAGGTGCAGGGAGAGATAAAATTAAGTTGCTTATCCAGATTTAGATGCTGGGGACAGCCTCGCTGATCCCTAGCTCTAGCAAGATCTGACAGCCTGTCCTCCTGGCCTCTGTCCTTTGGGAGGAAGGCTGGTGGCTACTCAGCTCCATCTGCCTTCCATGGGGGGACTTCCGAGCTACCTGGTACTCGGACAAGAGTTGGAGGGGAATTAAGAAAACACGCTGGGATAGAGCAAAGAGGTAGTGTCTATTCAGAATGGGGTTCAGCACTTCCCTAAGAAGTCCTGAAGACAGGCCTTCTCTGTATTCCACTGGAGGGACTGGTTCTCCCTCTTTCTCCTTCAAGGCTGCTCCATCTGTCCTGTCCCATGTCATCACCCCCATCTGAGGAGCAGCCTGGTAGCTGCTGGTAGAGTGATACTGATAACACAGTGTCATCTCTAGAGACGCCACTCTGTGTGGCACTAGGATTGTCCTCACTTGGCCAGTGAGGAGACCGAGGGTCATCCAGTGATAAGTAAAGGGTCAGTTCGACTTCAGACTTCAACTCTTTCCACCATATAATATCCATACTGTCTTTTCTGTGCCCAGTGGAGGGTGTTCCTTGACTCTGGGAGTGGCTATTTTTGCTAGCTTGGAAATGCACCTGGGCATAGAATGCACCAGGTGGACATAGGCCTTGCCTCTTGGTTGTGTAGAGGTATCAGGAATCCTGACAACTCTTAGGAAGGACGTGGCACCAAGCTGTCAGAGATGGGACGCTCTTTGGGACACTCACCAAATTGCCATTGGCACAAAGTGGCTGGTTCTTCACCGAGGGGCTCACACATGTACAAAGCAGGGTTCCCACTGCCCAGCGATCATTGACCACATGCTGATTTGGGAGCTGGTATGCATGGCTCCCCTGAATTCCCCCTCCACCCTGGGCAGATCAGGGGGAAGTCATGAAGCAGAGACAACAGCATCCCTCATGCAAGATGAGAAGCTCCAGCTTGCCTCTAACTCAAAACTTTGACCTTCTGACTTCGTCCCAGCTTGGTCTGTTGGATCCAGGGAATCAGGGGCTGGGGGCATACCGTGCTCATAAATATTTCCCCCTGAAGCATATCGAACCACCTTGTGGGGCCACCTCCTCCCAGAGCTGCCTACTCCCAGGCCCACCTCCCAAAGGGCCTCAGAGGTCTCATAAGCAAAAGAAGAGGGGGGCTGAGATGGTCAGGCCAGACGAAGAGCAGGGCCACATGACCCTACAGGTAACAAGCACGATGCTCAGACAGGTACCCTCCAAAGCCCTTACAAACACGAACTCATGAATCGCCACACATTTTCCTGCAGGACGAGGGCCAACTCCGTGTGACCGACGACACCACTAGGACAGAGAAGGCTTAAGTACCAGTGACCAAACTTGCACAGCTAGTAAGTGTAGGCTGAGAAGTGAACCCAATCTATCTTAGCCCAAAGACTGCTCCCACCTAGGTGCCACCCTGATGCCCACAAAGGGGCCTGGGGAATCACCTAATGCTTCTGGGAGGTGGGGGCTGAATGTTCCCCATAGCCGCTCCCACGGACTTTGTGATGATTCTGCAATAAAATAAAACAAAACGAAAAGAGCCATGCTCCCTTCAGAAGAGATTAAGGAGAGTGGGAGCGCACGGATATCGCCTTCTACATTTATTTCCAGCATGAGCCCTAACGAGGCCCTCGGCCGCCCCTCTTCTCGGAACACGTTCAGCTTCCACATATGTTCCGTGTCAAGAGGTATTAGCACTCAGCCCACTGACTAACCAATGTAATGATGCTGCTGAGAGATAATCCTTTCCAGAGCTGTTGCCTTCAGAAAAGGCAAGGCTGGAAGCAAGCCACTGAGAACCACAGAGAGAGAGAGAGAGAGAGAGAGAGAGAGAGTGTGTCTGTGTATGTGTGTGTTTGGAGGGGGTGGGGGGTGAGACACCCTGAGTCTGTGCTCAGGAGGGCCTTGTGACTCAGGTCCTTCTGCTAGAGGACTTGGCCTGGCCTGGCCACAGAAGTCCCAGCTGC